ACTTCTCCATTGTTCCAATCAGATCCGAAAAATGAGAAATCAATCAAAAGTACGGTCGGACCATTGACCAGGGAACCGGCCCCCAAAATGGTTCTTGTCTGGTCCAGTTTAAAATACCTTGATATTTTTGGACGTTCTTACTATTCCATGATAATTTGTGCTAGTTCCTAGAAATTTCTACTATTTTATGTTAATTTTTGACAATCATTGCTAACTTATTTTGGTTATTTTATTTGAAGATTCGTGTAATTTCTAGTAATTCATTTCCTACTAATTTATGAAAATTTAGTTTATACTAATTTATGGTTAATAGAAAATATTATAAATGATAATTATTTATTTATTGTCTTAAGTTACTGGTTATTTTGGTAAGTTCTAGTAATTTATTTTCAACTATTTTATTATAATTATTTATTAATATTAAGAAATATCAAATATTATTAGGATGATACTAATTAGTTATTACTAACAATAATTAAAATAAATTATTAATGGTTTGCCCATTATTTGTATCAAAACGATTTTAAATTGGYGCAAAGAAATACCTCAAAGTTTGTATTTTCTTAATAATTAAGAGAGGAGACCAAGGTGTTACAACATGAGTGAACCAGCTCCACCCTATTTTTTTCATTCAAAACGATGAGGGAAGTTGGGAAGAAAGAAAACAATGAGGGAAGAGGGATATAAAGAATAAATGTTGATGAGAATAAAAATTATCATATTTTTATCCCTAATTATTCAGTCTTTTGTACTTAATTAGTATTTAATTTGACTCATTATTCTTGTATTTCGATTCAGGGGATGAAAGAAGGCGTCAGGAGAAAAATAAGGCTAATCGGGTAATTTTGCATAGTTTCGGCGCCGCTTAGTAATCTGGGCATAATTCTCTCATCCAGACTCCGATTGAGATGATTTAAGATGCATTGGAAAGATAAGGAATAATTCTACAATTTTTATGTTTTGAGTTTTGATAGATTCCGACTGCATCGATGTAAAAATCGAGCCCTAAGTATGAGCAAATTCGCAGCAAAAGCCCAATTCGTTGAAGAAACCCAATACGAATACAAGAATAAGAAACTGCGAAGAATCCTATCAGATTCAATTTTTTGCTATAATTCTAGAAAGATAAAGGAGATTTAGATTATCAGATAAGAGATAGGATAGGATTAGATCTAAACTAATCATTAGGAATTAGGACTTTCTATTTTTGAGAAAGAACTCCAAAAATGAGTTGGAAACTGCCCCTCCTCCTAAAGCTATCTAAAGGGAAGGTGCACTAGCACCAAGGATCAATCTCTGGATCAATCAAAAGTCCTCCAAGAGAGCTTCAGCTTTTAAGGAAGAAGTCAACAACCTAGGAGGAGAAGAAGGCGGCAGCAAGGAGAAGACAAGCTCATCGATCTCAACTTCAAGGGCGGCATCATGAGTTCTTTCTTATACCTTGTTTGTTTAATCTTCTTTATCATGAATTAGTTTATTTATAGCCAGGGCTATGGAAAGCCTAACCATGACCATGGATTGATTTTTATTTAATTCAACCAAGCTATTTTTATTTTCATATTGTCTATGAATTATTATGCGTAATGCAGTTAGGAGCTTGGCCACCTCTTAGTTGATTTGGTTTATGTGAATGAATCAGAAGGAGAATTCATATAATAGACTAAATAATTCATAGTGTGAATTGAATGGTATATAGGAATATATATATATATATATATATATGATTCATCTGATGATACAAGTTTTTCATAGAACTTAATGCACTTTCTATCTCGAGAACTCCAATCGAGGAATCGAAGGGTTACTTGCTATAAGTAGGTTTGATATATTCTGGAAGGGAATATTAAAGAAATTAGGAAAAACTCTAGCTTATGAAAATAATAAATTATCTTGGTTAATTTAATAAATTGATATTCATTGGAAATGTTAGGTGGACCAATAGTCCTGGCACTTTCAGTTAAATCGTTGCAAGTCCAGTCATTGATAGACTCTGTTTTTTATTTCTTTTCTTTTTCTATCTTTAATTTTCAGTAGTTACTAATGTTAGATCCAAAATTCGGTTGTCCAACTAATTAAGGGAAACTATAGTTCTAGTACTTATTTTGTTAAATCATCGAGGGAGCAATATTTTTATACTACTTGATAACTAGTGCACTTGCTAGGGTTGTATACTTATAGCTATCAAGTTTTTGGCGCCGTTACCGGGGATTTAATCATAAAATAACATTAGAACTTGTTAACCTTGGTTAATTTGGATTTTACTTTTTATTTAATGTGTTCAAATTCTTGCCTTGTTCAGATTGATTAGTGTATGACACGCACTAGAGGTAAAGAACTAGCAGAATTCGACCCTGAAATAGAGAGAACCCTTCGCATACTGCAAAGAGCCAACAAAAGTAAAGAGAGAGAGAAGGTCGAAGAAGGCGAACCAGCAGTAGAATTTGAGGAAGATATGGCAGGCGAAGCAAATCGAACTATTTTGGACTATGCTTGTCCAACAATTGATGGGGCTACTTCTAGCATTTGCAAGCCAACTATTCAAGCCAATAATTTCGAGATCAAGCCTGCGATTATCCAAATGATCCAAACGAGTATTCAGTTTAGTGGGTTGTCGAGTGATGATTAATGCACATATTGTTAACTTCCTATAAATATGTGACACATTCAAGCATAATGGAGTTAGCAATGATGCTATTAGGCTTAGACTTTTTCCATTTTCATTATGTGATAGAGCCAATGGTTGACTTAACTCACTCCCTGCAGGAAGTATCACCACTTGGAACGACTTGACTCAAAAATTTTTGGCTAAGTATTTTCCTTCCTCTAAAACATCAAAATTGATCAATGATATCACTACTTTTGTTCAACTAGGGAGGGAATCTTTGTATGAGGCTTGGGAATGATTCGAAGAGATGCTTAGGAAGTGTCCTCACCATGGAATACCAGTTTGCCGCCAAATTCAAACTTTTATAATGGTATTACTCCATCTAATCGCTCCATTATTGATGCAGCTGCAGGAGGCACAATCATGAGGAAAACTTCAGAGGAAGCCTATGATCTAGTGGAAGAAATGGTATCAAATAGCTACTAATGGAATAATGACCGAGCTGATCGAAGGGGAGTGCATCATCTAGATTCTTTTTCAGCCTTATCTGCTCAGCTTGCTAGTTTGAATAAAAAATTAGTCAATTTTAGTGTTGCAGCAATAAATATGCCATCTTGTAATCCATGCGATCTTTATGGCCAATTGGGGCATATAAATTATGATCGTTAGGTAAGTAGTCCTTTTGCTTCACATGAAAGTGCTAATTTTGTTTCTCATGGTGGCAGGCCAAATTTCAACCCTTATTCGAATACATACAATCCAGGGTGGAGGAATCATCCGAATTTTTCATGGAATAACAACCAACAAAAAGCACCCATGGGATTTCAACAACATCCGCCCCCACAAGAAAAGAAGGGAAATTTAGAGGACATGATTTCTAAGTTCATTAATACTGCTGAAGCAAAGCTCCAAGATCACGAAAAAAGATTCTTAAATCAAGAGGCATCTATTAAGAACTTAGAAGTTCAAGTGGGGCAGATTGTGAGCATGTTATCAGAAAGAAGAGAGGGACGATTGCCTAGCAATACAAAGAAGAACCCAAGGGAGCAAGTGAGCAAGTGAATGCCATTGCCTTAAGAAGTGGAAAGACTATTGGGGAGATCAAGGATGATGATCAAAAAGATGAGGTAGCCAATTCACAAATGGAGATCAAAGGGAATACACCTAAACTAAATTTAGATGCTATTAAACTTCCTCTCCCCTACCCTAAAAGAGTTTTGAAAGTTAACTTGGATAAACAATTTGAAAAAATTTTAGAGGTGTTTAGAAAAATGCATATTAACATTCCTCTTCTTGATGTATTGTCGAAGATGCCGAAATATGCCAAATTCTTGAAAGAGGTGATGTCAAATAAAAGGAAACGGGAGGAGTGTGAAATGGTGAAACTTAACGAAGAGTGTTAAGCAATTCTTCAAAATAAATTGCCCCCAAAACTCAAGGACCCAGTGAGTTTTTCTATTCCTTGCACCATAGGAGATAGAGTTTGAGAAAGCTTTATGCGGTTTAGGTGCCAATATAAATCCAATGCCATATTCTATTTTTGAAAAACTTGGATTGCATGAACTAACACCTATTACTATTACCTTACAATTAGCTGATAGAAGCATTAAATATCCTAGGGGAATAGTAAAAGATGTTTTAGTCAAAGTAGGCAATTTTATTATACATGTTGACTTCATTGTGTTGGATATGGAGGAAGATAGGACAATACTTTTGATTTTAGGGAGACAGTTTCTTGCTACTGGTAATGCTTTAATTGATGTGCAAAAAGTCTACTTACTCTTAGAATCAATGGTGAAGAAGTAGTATTTAATGTATTTGAAACCATGAAGTATCCCAACACAATTGAACATGAAATATATGCAATTGATTGCATTGATGTTTGGGTATCTGAAATCGATGCATCTAAATCAGATAATCCTTTAGAAAGTTGCATTCTTAATTATTGTAAAAATGTGCAGGTCTTGGATGAGGAAGTTAAAGAGGTTTTGAACTATTTAAAGGCCAATCAAGAAGGATGCAAGCCAAGACAAGAAAAATTTTTACCACTTGATGGACGGCATTGGAGCATAACAAGATAAATGCAAAAACGGTTTAAAATATGAACCGTATTATATTCATGAACCAGAAAATGGATAAATATGTAGTATACATATTTGCGTTTGCATTATAACCAAATGTAGCCTTATAAGAAGATATCCAAGGAGACGAGTTTTTTGAAGAGAATAGGGGCATCAAGGGGAGTTCACATCTGCGCCCCACAGCACATCTCCACCTTTTATTGGAAACATCTCCTAATGATGTCTCATCATCTCCCGTATTATTATCAAGAAATGTTTCCAATACAAAGTGGGGATGTGATGTGGGGCATTGTGGGACGCCCCTTTGTGGGGTGCAGATGTGAACTCGGTCGAAGGGGGAAGACCAGGAGTAAGGGTTGGGCCAGAGCCGAGAGCTTCGAGAGCTTCGAGAGAGATAGCGAGAGCAGAGGGTATCGAGAGAGTTTTGAGTGAGAGAGAGGAAGAAAGAGGCGAGAGAGAGCTTCAAGGGAGAGAGAGTTCTCCCGTTTTTTCTGGGAATCGAAAGAGAGAAAACTGAGGAAAAAAGGAAGGTAGAGAGAAGAGGAGAGAGGGGTGATCGAGCTGAGAAGGAGAGAAAAGCGGAGATAGAGGGTAGAGACGATTTGAGAGAGAAAGAGGGTTTAAGCTAGAGAGGGCGTCATCAACTTTCTCAGATCTTCGTAGATATCTGTTTTTTAGTTCCCAAATCAGCAAGTTTCAATTGTTTCAGGTTACAACAAGAGGTAAAATGTTTTACCTCATCTCCTTGATCCTTATCTGTTTTTTAGTTCTTTCTGCCAGTTAGTTTTTGTGCGTTGAGTTTAAGTTTGGAGGTGAGAATCGGTACTTCCCTTAGAGAGGTTGAAGCGTTTCTTTGCTCTCTTCAGACCAATCAGCTGAGTCCGAAGGTGAGGGTCTGATAGAAAAGGGGTGAGAATTCATCCTTTTGCTCAGACCCTTATGTCCAAAAGAGGGTTGGTCTAGAGGAAAGGAGAGAAGCTTTCAAGTCCTCCCACATCTGGTATTCACACCGACAAGAGAGAGGGGTGCCTAACCCCTTCCCTCTCTATCTCTCAACTTTCCCAGATTAGCCTTATCCTGGCCGATTGATATGGAGTTGTTAATTCTGAAAGTTTTTGTGAAATTTAAATCTGGGAGACCCATCACTCTCCATTGATAATTCTGATGGGTGGCCACTCCATAGCATTCAGCCATGAAGTGAACAGCCGGTGAAGTCATTTTCCCAACGCTCACACTAATCGTTTGGCACACCTTTCTAAAACTGGACGCGAAAAGCTACTTCCCTTAGGGTTTGCACCTAGAGGGAGAACTAAGTAGGTAAAAGCCAACTAGTGGTAGAGCACTTAAGCAGTTTACTATAGAAGCCAAATCCCCTTCCACCAAATTAATTCTTGCAATAAAATTATTTTCCAAATTGATTTTTAAATTTGAAGCCACTTCAAACCTCTTAATCAGAGCTTTCAAATTGTTTGTTTTGACCAGCATAGAGCTTTCAAATTATTCACCTTCTTCAAATCATTGCCTTCATAGGAAATAATTGTCATCTACAAACTGGAGTTGTGTAAATACAATGTTGTTCCTCCCTATTCTCCAACCCCTAAATTCTTCTCCCCTATCAGTTTTGATATTAATCTGCTGAATGCATCAACTATAAGGGTGAAAAGAAAGAGTGATAGAGGGACTCCTTGTCTTAACCCTTAGAGGTTGGGGAAAAGTCTTTAACCACCCCATGCACCAGGACAAAATAATGGCACGGTGTAAATACACATTTTCCCAATTACACCATCTCTCCCCAAACCTGCAATTTTGCATGACCTCTATTAGGAAGGTCCAATCCACAAGATCATAAGTTTTGTCTAGATCCAGCTTACACACAAAACCTTTCCTCTTTGTCCTCATTATTTCCTCCACACTCATTGGCAATGGGAATTTTTTTTTTCCTGATCAGAAACGATAACTTTCATTAGAGATAAATTAAGCTGAAATGCAGAAGTCAACCCTTATTAGAAAAGGTTGATCCAATAAACATCAAACATTACAGCACTGCCCAATAAAGTCTCTCCCTTACAGTCCCTTGTTTTGCTAGGGTGTCAACAAAACCATTTGCTGATCTCCTTACCCACTTGAAACAAACACCTACCTCCCTTGTTATGCTAAGAATTTCCCTTATCAGCTGTCTATATTGCCAAATTCCCAGTTGCCTTGATTGCATCTACCCAATTATCAATTTGGAGTCTCCCTCTATCTCAATCTTCTGTAGCCCCAATTGTTTGGCCAATTTTACACCTCGATGTAGTGCCAAGATTTCCGCTCTTAAGGAATCTCTAACTCCTACTAGACTTGAATACAAAGCCATTATCTTGCCTTCATTATCTCTGAAAATAACTTCTATACCAAATGGGCCTAGATTACCTATAGAGCTTCCATCAAAGTTCAGTTTCACCTTTTGTTGTGCCGGTGGAGACCAAACTTCCTATATCATAGCTTTGGAAGTAGTAGTAGATGCCACAATACCCCAACTTCTATAAATGTCTTCACTTGAGAAATCCTTAAAAAGATCACTGGATTTCAACCAATGGATAACCTTAGTAGTTACTCCTTCCATAACCTCTTCCTTGGATTTACAATGACCTTTGAAGATCCTATTGTTTCTTTCCTCCCACATTGGCCACAATACAATAGCTCTAGTGGCTCTCCACATAATCCTTTCATGAATTGTTGGTTGCCTACAAAAAGTTGGATCAAAGAGGTTCACCATTCTCGAGGAAGGAGTCCAACTGCAGCCAAAGAGAGAAGAGAACCAAGACCAAATAAAGAACACAAAGGGACATGAGATTAGTAAATGTGAAATTGTCTCACTAGAACCCAAACAGAGACAACAAACATGGGGGGCGAGGCACATAATTGGCCTCTTTTTCTGCAATAAATCCAAGGTGTTGATTTTTTGGAGTGCCACTTCCCAGCAAAAGGCTTGACTTTTTGGGGGTACAGGGCTACCCCACACCTCCTTTGAAGGAAAGTTCCCTACAAGGTTAGAGGTATGAAGCAAAATGTTATAGAAAGATGAGCAATTGAAAAAACCAGAAGGGGAAGGTTGCCACATTCTGCTATCTCTACAAGACTGATCAAGAAAGACTTCCCTTAACTAAGTGATCAAATCATCAACCATCCGTTTTTCAGAATCCCTTAGACCTCTTCTCAAGCCCAAATCCTAGGAGTTATCAACAAACACTGAAGAGATCACTTTTCTTTTGTTTTTAGACAAGGAGTAAATAGAAGGAAATATATCTCTAAGGGAGTTTTCACCAACCCAAACATCTTCCCAAAACAAGACTTTATTTCTAGCGCAGACATCATATTTGAAATAAGGGAGCATAAGAGGCAAAATACCTTGAATAGCTTTCCAAGGAGAACACTGAGAAGCTCTAGGGTTGAGTCCTACATCTCAACCGTTATCTGCTAATCCATGAATACTAACAATCATTATAGACCAAAGTCTGTCCTATTCCATTGGTAGTCTCTAAATCCATTTCCCCAGTAGAGCTGTGTTTCTTAATCTTATATTTCCTAACCCAAGGCCTCCATCATCCCTACTCCTATAAACCACCTCCCACTTCACTAAGTGATCCTTCTTAGTATCCCCTGGTTCCCACAAGAAATTCCTCATTATCTTCTCTAACTGGTTAACTACTTCATTGGTACTCTAATGGTAGACAAGAAATAAATTGGCAAGTTGGCCAAGGTTGACTTGATTAAGGTTATCCTACCCCCTAAAGAGATGTAATTCCTCTTCCAATTTGCTAACCTCTTGGAGAATCTTTCAATCACAGGATACCAAAAACTCTCAACCATTGGATTCCCTCCCAGTGGTAGCCCCAAATATTGTTAAGGCCAGTCCCCCACTTCACACCCCAAAATCCTAGCTAGGGAATCCACCTCCTCTCCCCCTAAATTGGCAATGAGAATTTGATCTACTATTTGTCTTCCTTGAATGAAATCCCTTTGAAATTGGCTATTAATAGAAGGGAGAACCGCCTTAATCCTCAAAGGAAAAATCTTGGATAAGATTCCCAAAATCCTAGCTAGGGAATCCACCTCCTCTCCCCCTAAATTGGCAATGAGAATTTGATCTACTATTTGTCTTCCTTGAATGAAATCCCCTTGAAATTGGCTATTAATAGAAGGGAGAACCGCCTTAATCCTCAAAGGAAAAATCTTGGATAAGATTTTATAAGTGCTAGTCACTAAATTGATACGTCTAAAATCCTTGGGTTGAATATTAAGGCTAAAAAGTGGCATTGATCCCTGGGCTAATGATGTGCATATCTTCAAACTCATAGAACGCCTCACACAAATTGAAAAATCTATAAAATGAAAACTGATGTATGAAGAGAGAGCAAAGGAACACCTGTCAAAACAAAGAGTAGGCATGATTGAATGATTTTTGATCATCTGATTTAGAGTAGGCATGATGAATGATCATCTGCTTTAGGAACTGCTACTACTTTCTAAATAAATAAAACACGTAGCGTTTCCTAAAGGCTAAACTGAAGAAGAACAAACCCAAAATACAGGCTACTGACGAACATGACCTGTTTCAGCTGTTCAAGGCAGTTTCTCTGTTCTTTTGCATTTTCCTCTCCCCTTTCTCATGGTTCTTAAGTTTTCGTGTTCTTCTCATTCTGGTTTTCCTGATAAGCATTTATAGTATTGGAAATGAGAAGTTTTCTCTGTTAGTCTCTTTGAGGAAGATAATTATTACAACCTTCTTTGCAACTGAAGTTTTTTTTTTTTTAATCTTTTATTAGTGATTTCTGTTATCTATATAGAAAAGGCTGAACAATTTTCATTATTTCAATAATTTTCTAGGCTGTAATTTTAGTTTCATTAGTAGGTCTAGTTTTGTTTGATCATGTCTCTTTCTCTCTCTTATTTTGTCTGATAAACTCTTTTTCTACAGGTTGGACAAGACTCTCTTAAAACATTCTCCTTTAAGCCAAACAAAACTTAATCAAAAACCTTGGAAAGATGAACTCCATATTGAAGCAGACATTGACCCTTTTGAGAGGGACAGGTTTTCCACACAATCCATTAAGTTCAGTGCATCAGCAGCTTCAGCAGTGGCGAGGGATTCGAGTGCAGGTACGGAATGGGAATCTGGAGCAGGCACTGACAGTGATGCAACGTCGGATGAGGGCAAGTGGGATGGAATACCTGATAAAGCGTCAGTCAAGATACCACATCAAGAATTCTGAGAAACGCATCTTAGCCCGGAAGAACTTGGAGCGAAAGATCCGTTCTGAAGAGCTTTCTCGCAAGCTCTATGCCATTATCAGCAAGAAAGTCAGGTAAAATAAAAGAACTCCATTAGCTGAAGTCCATTTTGGAAAAGTAAGATATGTTTTCTGTCATTGATACACAGAAAAAAGACATGCCTAGATGATTTATTTTGTTCTTAATTTGACTGGTTGAATTTCTCTATCTTGGTTTTGCTGTGAATTATTTCATTATCTATTCAATAATTTGATGGCATATTTTTGTGAGGTGACTCTATGAATAAAGCCAGAAATTAGAATGGCTTTGATTTATGATATCCATATGTTTTATACTTAGTGATGGTATAAATGATTCACAGAAGAAAATCAAAATTATGATAACTTAGCTTAAAAGAACTTTGTTAATTGTGTGGTATGCTTTCATTATGTTTGCCTACCTGGCTTTTCTTTTTAAGTGTTGTCATGTAATACTAGAAAAAGAAAGCAAATAAATGAGAAAATGCAGATTGTAGTTGCTGGGGCTGGGCAGAGAAAGAAGAGAATAGGAGAAAGAAGAGAGGGAGAAGATTGATTTGGAGAGAGAAAGCATATGTGGGTGTGCACCCCTTTCATTGATGCTTGTACGACTCTCCAATTGATACAACAAATTACATGCAAATGACATAAATACCCCTGTCTACAGAACAGACAGAGAAACTAATTACTTACTTCATGACTGTGGGTCCACCTATTTCGCCTCCTAGTCTTTCAACACTCCTTGCCAAGCTGAGTATAGATATCAATCGTACCCATTTCACTTACATTATAGTTCAGCTTAGCTTTGACTACCTTGTAAATAATATCTGCCATTTGATTTTTAGGTGCTACATAAGACACATTTTTGCAGACAGCTCTTGCTCCCTGAAGAAATGCCTATTCACCTCAATATGCTCGCTCTTGGTCAAGCTGAATTTGTTTTTGTGCTATATTAATTGCCTCCTGATTATTATGATAAAGCATCATAAGACTATCATACTTGATTACTTGATCCCAGCTCATTCCAATAGTGACTGAACCCATCGAACTCCAATACATTCATGAGCCATAGCTTTGTACCTAACTCTGTATTGGACTAAGCCACAACTGATTGCTTCTTTCTCCTCCAAGACATTTCGTTGCCACAATACCTAGAAGTAGAGCATTTGTCATCAATTGACCTAACCCAATTTGCATCTGTGAATGACTTGATTTTCATATGGCCATGACTGGAGACAAAATTCCTGTGCTAGCTGCCCCTTGAAGTAGGTGAAGATCCTCTGTAGCAGCTAAATGGGCACAATTCATGAACTATCTCAAACCCGAGCCATGCATATATACAAGAGCCTACCAACCAAATGCTGAAACATTTCTTTTTCTTTGAGTGGTTTCTTAATTGAAGAGGATAACTTGTGATTAGGATCAATTGGCGTGTTTGTTGGCCTAACTCCAAATTTCCTTGTTTCTTTTAGCAAGTCCAAGACATATTTCCTTTCTAAGATAAATATACCATCAATCTAGTCACCTTTATGGCAAGAAAGTATTGAGGCAGTTCCAAATCTTTTGATGTCAAATTCACAATTTAGAAACTGTTTAAGCTTTTCCATCTTTGGAATATTATTCCCAATCACTATTGTGTCATCGACATACTAAATGAGAACTGTAAGCAATGTACTTTCTCTTTTCATAAACAATGTGTGGTCTGACTAGCTTGATAGTAATCTGCCTTCAATAATGCTGTTCTAAACTGATGAGCCAAAGACCTGATTATTAGTAAGCTGATCATAGAAGGAGATTCTGAGCTAGTAGTGGGCTGGTTAATGGAAGACAAGAATGGACTTTGGAATTACAGCAATGAAAAAAGAAAGTTTAAGTGCTGACAAAGGACATTGATGTAAAATGTACTTGGGTGAAGAGAAGTGCAAACTCCATTGCCTATGGGTTAACTAGATAAGGGGTGAACATGGATTCTGTTTTCTGGGATCATTTGTAACTGTTTTCTACTTTCCTTTTAGGTGGCTTTTGGCTTCCTTGGGGAGTTGAGATAGTTTATCTCCCCTCCTTTGTATCTAAAGCTTATTTCTTAATGGAAAGTCCTGTTATTGATAAAAAAAGCTCTTCTAAACCGACTAAACCACACTTTATGGCTTCAACCCACATAATGACTTCCTAAGCTAGCACACCTTCCCTATGCTAGAATTGCCATAAAATTTAGGTGGGACAGACATACACTTCATTCAAGTCATAATTCAAGAAGGCATTTTAACATCAATTGGTACAAAGGCTAGGAATAAGAGGTTACAAGGGAGAGCAAAACTCTAGTTGAGTTCATTTTGACCACTAGAACAAAGCATAGTTGTCAAGGTGTCTAGGCGATTCTGGGTGACATTGGGGTGCCTAGTCGCCTAGGTGATAAAAATTTCATAATATAAAGAACTAACTTTTGGTTAGCTTCCTAGTTTTATATACCATTTAGCATGCATCTTAATTGAAAAAAAAATTGCATTTTTCTTTATTAAAAACATCAAATTTTCTCTAAAAATGTGGCAAACCATCATATCTAAGAGAATTGTTTATGTTCTTTTTGTTTTTTGCTGTTTTCTGTTAAGTTGTTTGAGGTAGCCAAGGCTACCTATGATTTGTACTGTTTTCTCCTTTTAATAAAATTTCACGTTGCTGATAAAAAATCATCATATCTATAAAAATCTGTTAAATATATTAATTTCATTATTTTCAAAAACAGTACTACTATAATAAGTATTTAATAGAGCAATTTCATATCAATTAGCAACCAAATAAGGTTATTAACTTTATAAATAAAAATTCAAGATGGAAAGTAAAATAGAAAAAACAAGGATGGAGTTGCTCTTTTATTTAATTGGTGAGAGGGTGACAAAATAGAAAAAAAATCTCTCTATACTCTATTCATTCATTCATTCTTTCTTTTTCTTTTCTCAAAACCTGTTGATCTTTTAAATTTCAATAGTAAAACATTAAAACAAAGTATAAATGATATATGGTATCTATTATTAGCACACGTATTAATAAGATGAAGCAATATAAATGATATTATAATAAGGTGCCCATCTTCTCAGTTTTGTCACCTAGGCAGGCGCCTAGTCACCTAGGTGGACGCCTAGTTGCTATAAGTCAGGGCGTTTGGGGGATGTGCTCAATCAAGGATGCCTAGTTGCCTAGGCAAAACAAAGGTATCCAAGTAGTGTGCTATTATATAAAGAACAAAAAAAAAAAAAAGATCATTACAAAATAAAAGGAAACAACCACCAGCAAAAAAGCTATATCCCCTTAGACACTACAAAAGGCCCAACCCCAAGAAACACAATTGAGAACTTCTAAAACAATCAAAACAGGATCAACAAACCACTTCCTGAAAATGTGGCCCGCCAGGAATGAAGTGAAGCAAAAACCAGCAGCTGCATGTTTGCAGAATTGAACATTTGTAGATTTACCTACCATTTCGTTTTCTTCCACCCCTTCCTCACCCCCAAATTCTTTGCTCCTTTCATCCCCAAAGACACAAAAGCATTAGCAAGGAGCAGCAGGAGGAGAATACAAAAAGAAAGGGGAAGAGACACAGGAGCTGGAAGAGGCGAGAATTTCTCTTTAAGATTATTATTATTATTGCTCTTCCTGTGAAGAGAGACAGAAATATTTTACTTTTAGTTTTAGATAATAAAGCCATTCTCATTCCACTTTATCAGTAGGAATTTGGTCCAGTCCAGTACTGCCAACTGAATCAACCCTATTTGGCTACTTAGTTTTAGATAATAAAACCATTTTACTCTACTTTATACACTAAGATTTGATCCACTACTGCTAAAAAGTCTAACTCTATTTGTTATTAGAATAGGGTATACTGTGGATAAACTTTAACGAACTCCTCTTTCCCCCCTTTCTCTTCTGTCTGATTGCTGAAGTTTTAAGTAGATTGATGATTGATCATAAAGGCTGATTTGGATTACTCCTTTACGGGTTGGAGGGTCGGAAGGAATGGTTTAGTTGTTAGCCACTTTCAATTTGCAGATGATATAATTTTCTGTGATAGGTATGATGAAGGTAGATCAGTGATTTAAAAGGAGCGCCTCAGGCAAGCCTAGGTGCTTAATTGAGGTGCCTTTTAAGTTATGCGCCTCACCTAGGCCGTAGGTGCAACACTTTTGAGGGGCACACACCTGGTGTGCCTAGGCGTGCACGTGGTACGCAGCATGCGCCTTTTGCTTCAGCTGAGGTGTGTGCCTTTATTTATTTTTTGCACCCTTTGTTCTTTAACCTAGCGGCTGGGATGGGGCCTTTGCCCCCAGACCCCCAGCCAAGCCCCTTGAGGCAAGCCCAAACAAGTCCATGTTAGGGTCTCAAGTTCTTAATCCCTACACAAAAAAAAATGATTTTATAATTTGAACTGCCTTTTTAGAAGATGTTTTATTAGGATGAATGAATGAACAACATTAGCAAATAGGGGGTTCTTGGAGCTTCGGTCCCCTATTTGCTAATGTTATTCATTCATTCATCCTAATAAAATATCTTCTTAAAAGGCAATTAAAATTATAAAATCATTTCTTTGGTGTAGGGATTAAGAATTTAAGACCCTAACATGGACTTGTTTGGACTTGCCTTGAGGGGCTTGGTACAAAGGTGGCTCGTAAAATCAGGAAAGCAAGATGTTTTGCATCACATTAGCTATTTTTTAAATTATGCAATTGAGGGAAAAAGAAATTGGGGGTTTTACATGCTTGAATATGTTTTATATGTTTGATTTTATTTTTAAATTTTCATTTGAATATGCTTTACATGTTATGTTTTTGTGTTTTAATTTTAGATAATGTGTTTTTTTAAAACATTTATTTTAAAATTTTAGTTTATATTTTTTATTAATATTATGTTTAATGTTTTTATTTTTACTTTTTTTTGCACCTTCTTTTGTTTTTTTTTGCATTTTCTGAATTTTTGGATTTTTTTTTGAATTTTTGCATCTTGCTTCGAAAAGGCATGTGCCTCACCTTGTGCCTTGGGTGCAAATTGCTCCTTACACTTTTAAAACACTGAGGTAGATTGAGGAGAGTCCACATTCTGTGCACCCATGGGTGCACTGGACGCGTGAACCCACCAACCAGAAACATCCACGTCGGTATGTTCAAAATTCAGTAACTATAACGGACGTTTAACCGTTTGTTAAAGAATCTGGTTGAACCAGACACAAAAAGACAAAAAACTTAAAATACATCCACCAGCGACCTGTTTAAACAGCGGCAGTCAACATTCACCTAAACGAAATAACTCCCAAAAACTTGTGTTGGCTGGAAGATTTGAACACACCATTAAAAGCCAAAAGAAGAGAAAGACACAATCAAAGCTCTGAACTTGAACTTGTTTCTTCTCTTCCTCTTTCTTTCAACACAATGAAATTTTCTTTCTCCATAAGCTTTCATCACCTTCCATGGTTTCTCAGAAACATTTCTCTCTTCTCCTTCTAGTAAGCCTCTTCTTTGTTTATAATCTACCCTTCCTTTCGTCGTCTCTTTCTACTGTATGAATCTCTGAAAACTCTAACTTCACCTTAATTTGTGCATTACTGCAAGGACAAAACAAAATAGCATTACCATTCCTTAATTGTATTTTTCCTAGTGGAATTTCGATTACCCCAGCAAATCCCAGTTTTCCGATTCTGCCGCCGGAATTGGGTTCCTGTGTGTTCTCAGGACATCCCCTAGTTTTTCTCTCCTTTGCTGGAGATTCTCCGGTAATGGTACTGTTACAGATTATAAAAGAATATACAATGGTCGAATGCTCGATGAGCTTGATGCAGGGGTATCTCACATCTGTGGCCGAATCAACAGATCAGGTAGAATACAGTGCTGTTCATGGCATGGACCCAATTTTCCCATTGATCGAAATCTCTCAAGAATCACCGTGGGAGGAGACTTTGCTCGTGGGTTGTCAGAAACTGGAAAAAAGAAAGGAAAAAAAAAGTTTTTGGTAATTACCTTCGTTCAGGTGAATGTTGATGACTGCCGCTGTGAGCTGTTCCGACCTGTTGATAATAGAAAAGAAAAAAAGAACATTAGTTAGAGGAGGAGGAGGAGGAGGAGCAAGAGGAAGAAGAAGAGGGAAAGGAAGAGGAAGAAAACGTACGGACTAGAGGCTGGACGATTTGTCTCTCACCACTGGTAGCTTTGTCGTTCACGGGGCACTGGTGTGAAGGCACCGGTGATCTGTAACTGTTGTTTTTTTGTATCCGGTTGAACCGGACGGAGTCGATTGACGGCCAAACCCACGTTACCATTACACAAGACAAACTTAATCGACGTGGTCGAATGTGATTGGTGGGTGCATTCGTTCAGTGCACCCATGGGTGCACAGAATGCGGACTCGATTGAGGAACCTAAAGGAGTTAGTACTTTGAGAGGGTTTCTAATTTGAAGGTGAATTGGTGGAAAAGTGGCAGAGGGGGCTAATAAGAGGGAGGATGAGCCTCATGTGTTGGTGGGAATCCTAGGGTGCAAGGTCAGTACTGGCCTTTAGAAGAATACCTTGGACTATCTTTGGGTTTCAATCCAAGATCAGAGAACTTTTGGAAATTGGTAGTGGAGAGATTTGCTAAGAAGCTGGCTCTTTGGAAAAGGAACTGCATTTCAATGGGCGGGAGAATGATCCTAATTAAATCTATGCTGGCCAACCTACCCATCTATTAGTTGTTCATCTTTCATCTATCGATTATAGTGGCTAAGCAGTTAGAAAAATATATGAGGGATTTCTTATGGGAACTGGTAGATGAGAGGAAGGACCAATTGATGAAGTGGGAGTAGGTGTGTAGATCTAAGGTTCAGGGAGGCTTGGATATCAGAAATTTGATTGAGAAAAATACAGCTCTACTAGGCAAATGGTTGTGGAGGTTTCCCCTTGAGAGAGATAGGCTTTGGCATCGTGTCATTGGAAGCATTCATGGTGTTGTAGATAATTGCTGAGACGCGAAGGTGGCTCCTCAATCGGTGACAGGTAGCCCCTCAAGCCAGTTAGGCGCCACTAGGCACTGTATAGACCAAAAAATAAAAAATAGTGGTACCATTGCAAGAAACTTAATTTTGGTGTTTCTTGCAATGGTAGCTTCCACATAATCCAAGGTGTTTAATGTAGACATTTATTTTTGTAAACATACCAACCAAACAAAAAATAAGTAGGTGGTGAAACCACTATGCCTACTTGGCACTGATATGGCATGTTTATAAAAATATACAACAATGGTACCAAACACCTATTTAGTTGACTCTATAATGCTCATGGGCTACACAATCGGTGGGGAGGGGGAGGTAGCCGATAACCCCCGCAACCCTGTTGGTAGTGGGAATTAATCCCAAATATCTGCTACAACAATCTAGAGGCCCTACCAACTAAGCCATGATCAATTGGTTTTGATATTCTTTGATGGGTATTATAAGTTCACTACTTTCCAAACCGTACTAAATTCCTATAGAACTTTTAGTTTTAGATCAATGTTTTAAAACCCAACCTGGAGGATGGATCACTTTTGCCTCTGGGTTGCGGGTTGCTGGTTCAGTTGTCCAGGTCAAATGGGTCACACCATGACATGTCAGGATATGCACATAACTATATATGTATAAATATGTATTTTATCAATAAATAATTTAAAATTATAACTACGTGTAACGTATGTATTATTTTATGTTTAGTTATGTTTTTATTCCAGTTTTTAATTTTTTATTTGTAAAAAATGTTAAAAATTTGGGATTTGAAGCCAAAAGGGGTATTTTTTTGGCAAAATGGTGGGGCAAGGTGCCAAAAGGTGCCCTAGGACACAAAGATCTCAAAAAGATGCCCAAAATCAATACTTTATTTTTTTTTGAAAATTGTAAGGTAAAGTATTTCATTAATAATCTTTAAAACCATACAAGTATGCAAACTCCTGTACAAAGAGAATCTGTACAAGAGGGAAAAATAGAAAATCAGTATAACCAACAATCAGCCCCACCCAAAAATTATGAACTCCTAAAGAAAAGGAAATCTTGCTCAAAACAAGAACATGATTGTCTATTTTAAATAATGAGTGGTTTGCCAGCCATGAATGTATCATTCCTGAAATCCTTTTTAAAGACCTCTTCTTTTGAACTTTGTCCATCTTCAAAAGTTCTGCTGTTTCTTTCACACCACAGTGCCCAAAATACTGCTGAAGGGAGTAAGTTCCAAGATAATTTTCCAGCCCTGCTTAAACCACTTAAATTCCAAGCTCCCATGAATCTCTTCACATCAGCCGGGAAGCATGTATGAATCCCAAAAAGGCTCATCAAACTTGTCGAAATCCAATGAGCGAATTTGCAGTGAATTAGCAGATGGCTAGAAGTTTCTTCACACCCATTGCACAGAGTGCATGCCATATCTGTCACCTCCATTCCTCTCCTAACTAAATTGTCCTTAGATAGGATCTTGTCCAGCACCGCAGAGGCACAGGCCAAACAAAAAAGCCAGTTTGGAAGGCACAGACCTTACCCAAATCCTGTCGCTTGGAAAGGATGAAGATTCCTCCCCTAACAAGATGCTGTAAAATGATTTAACAGAAAAAGATCCTGATTTTTCAAATAACTATTTTCTTTTTGTCTTCCCCTACTCTAGCTGAACACAAAGTTATGGCCTCTGGAAGTTTTAGTGTGTAACCTGTGACCCAGTCACTGGGTTGAATGGGTCAATGGTTGAACCACCTGGATTGGGTGGTTTTTGACCAAATCAACGGCTTTTGGTCAAAATCCGGATTTGAGGAAAACCAGACCCGCAATCAGAACTGTCCGGGTGAATGGCGGGTTGAAAGCACTTTTAGATATTTTAGACGTTCTTACTCTATCAATAGGAATTTGGTCCAGTACTGCCAATTCAACCGACCCTGTTTGGCTATTATAAGAAATTGTACAACCACCATTCTGCTCTACTTTATCCACTGAAATTTGATCCAGTACTGCTAAAACATCAAACTCTATTTGCTACTGGAATAAGTTATACTTGGGATAAACTTTGACGAACTGTAATTCATTACTGGTGCCAAATGTTTCCTGATGAACACAAGAGATTAGAAGTACTGAAATACTTGATTGAAAAGTCAGGAGCTCCTTTGAAATATCAAAGTCTTTTTCTTAGTTGACTCTCTTTCCAGACTACTAAATCCTTACAGACCAGAGAGGTATGTGATGGTTATTCATGACTTGATTTTATTTTTTGGTAGAAGTTATTTATGACTTGATAAGCCATTGAATGTTTACTATTCATTTGATTGCTGATGAAATGCTTTAAGGTGTTTGCTTATGTGCATAGGTGTTTGATCATATACATTAATGTATTTGTTTGGAATTGTTGCAGGGGTCTCTGAGAGCAAATTCAAATGTCTGTTTAGTTCTCTGCAGAATATCTATGCACCTTCCTGTTAGTTTTATAGGCCTATTTCATGTACTTTGGATTTTCATTGGGTATTTTCCCCACTCTCTTTTTGAACTTTTCACATGAGAAGATCTATGAACTTGTGTTTTTCACTATTTTTTATTCGATAGAAGCAAGCACAAACCACTTGGTTTAATTGTAACCGTTCAAAATATAGTCCTTAGATCACAGAACAAGTTTCCTTGCATGAAAACTTGATTAATTGACAATGGGCTCTGTCGAGACCATGAGTACATTAATTAAACTTCCCTTACTAAATATGAGCGTAGCTCTTTTAGGGAGCATTATGATGAGAGCTACAACGTCAACTTGAAAGATAAGACATTCAAACCCATTTTGTTGTTTTTGCCAAAAGAACTCATAACCTTCAAACGGCATTAGATGCGTATTTAGATGCTTGGTTTTAGTAACCATGAGAATTGAAGTGTATTTCTCAAAGGAGTTAGAAATACACTGTATTAAGTTTCAGTTGTCCGCAGAGGCATTGCGATCATGAGTTGCCCGTGAAGCCGATCAGGGTGCGTATACAAGTTGTACTTGTTGCAATTGCAACTATTCAAACATGGAGCAGGAAGAATGCAAATTTTGGTTCATTTTTGCTTTGTATTTTACTTAGATTTAGGTTTCATTTTATTTTCATCTGCAATGAAGATGAAACAAAAAGGGCAAAAGATGAAACAAAAAGTAAACCAGAATTTGCAGGACTCTTTAATGGTGGAAACCATAAACTAATGGATGAAAGTTCAGGAGAGGAGAGTCTAAAAAAAAGATAGCTATATTTATAACAACCTAAAGTGATGGCCATGGGCATTAGGAATCTAACCTTTAAGCCTTGGGTTTTTCTTCTGCTTTGGACAGGTGTCCTATGTTTTCTCTCTCTTATCTGACTTTGCTTTGTCTCATCATGTCTCTTCATATTTTTTCTAAAATTTTCTCTCCCCTTCGGTCCCTCGCTCATTCACCATCTCTCTCTCAAACCAATACCCACTCAGTCCTTTTCTTCCTCTGCTTCTTCTTTGCCTATGTTTCTCCGCCCCTCTCTGTCTCTCACCAACATCTCAGTCCTTTCCCTCTGCTTCTTCCTCACCTCTCTCTCTCTCTCTCTCTCTCATCTATCGCTGTGTACGGTTTTGGAGGACCCCTGCAACCACTGTTGTCCCGATTATGCATGGTTTGGTTTCGGAGGAGCTTTGTCGCCGTTTTCTCATTGTCTTGTAAGGTTTAGGGGTGGGTTTGGTTCGGTTGCAGTTCTAGTTCTAGAGTGTCTTGTACGAGAGTCTGTAACAACCACTATAAGCCTATTTCCCACGAAACCAGATTTATATTTTTTTAGGTACCAAGCCGGCAACTGTATCTTACACCTATTTCAAATATGGCAATTTATGTTAATGAAATTAATTGAGCTTACAATATAATATATTTAGTAATCTAATTACGTTAACCTAAAAATTATATTCAATTTAGTTAATTCAATTGACCCAATAAAGTTACCGTAAATTACTTAGATTAGATTTAGTTGTTAACTTAGATGTATTACTAATAAATTAATAAATAAATCACTTTAATCAATTAATTAATTATCTATTTAACTATCTTTATTAGGTAAATTATTTTAATTAGTTACTAGTAAGTGTGGTAGTAACAATGTATCCAAAATTATTTTAATTAGTCACATAAGGACCTCATCCTAATATGTGATAATCAGATTGAGTTGTGAAGTTTCAAGTACCACTGATAAGTTTACTTGGTTAGGTAGTATTTCAATTGATAATTTAAACATCATAATTAAATATGGACTAAATTTAAAAATGATTATTTTCATCAAAAGAAGGTTCCAATCTTATTCATGTTTTACATAGTAGTATAAATATAGAATTATATCTATGTTCAATTTTTTTAATAATTTTTTTGTATTTTTTTGTGTAATAATAATTCTGATATGTTACACTTACTTTTTGTTTAATATGAGAAATATATGATATTATACATGTTATGATATTGTACATGTGCCTGAATGTTTTTTTTTTTTTTTGCAAAATTTGTATATTTATATATTTTATTAATTTTTATTATTTATTTATGACATTAAAGGTTAGGTGTTTAACACCTTTGACCCAAAAGTTGAAATATTGATCTTTGCTGAACAGTAAAATAATTTCATTTTTGGTCAGTTCTAAATTATTTATTTCATTTTCATTATTAATAAAAATAATTATTGTTTACTCACTTATTTTTTTAATTTGATTAATAAAAAAATCATAAGCATGTCTAATGTTTTCTACATTTTTTTTGTAATTTTTCTATATTTATTTTTATTTTAATAATTTTATTACTTAGCTACAACTTCATAAGTTGATCAATTTGATTTGGATGGTTGAATTGCTTAGCCACCACTTGGATAAAGAATGGCTTTGTTTTTGAGTGAATTTTAAAATATATGTGTTTATATTGTTAAAAATATTGACATAGATCTAAGTAGTAGCATTTATTAGTAAAAAAATAACTTAAATATAGAATTTAATAAGAGAAAGTGAGAGTTAGCCTTAAATATAAGACTTAATGAGAGGAAATTAAATGAGGTGGAGAGTAATAACTGAAGTTACATTTTCAACCCTTATAATTAAAGACAAACTAAATACACAAATATGGGCATTTTAGTAGCAATTAAAGCTAGCATTAATGCTGTAATAAAATTGACTTTTATACCCTCTCTTAAATAAATAAATAAATAGAGGGTCATTTTAGTGCAAAAAAACATTCACTCTATATTCATACTTTTGTATAGATTTATATATGCAAGTTGATTAATTTTAATTAATTAATTGTAATTATTGTTTAATAATTTAATTAACTTATGTGCATTAGTTATGTCAATTTAATTAACAAAACTTAATTATGTTAATGTTGTGTATAGTGAAGTAAAAAAATATAGTTAGATTAATTATATCTGTATGTGTTTAAGCCCCCATTTGAGAGTACTTATTCTTAAGCACTTATCATAACAAAACACCTATTTTAGGGTGGAACCACACCAATAAGCACTTACATGTGTTTGGAAATAAGCCCAAATAAGTACGTTTTTAGAAAATAAGCCCACATTGAATAAACTCAAATTTTTGGTGTTTCTTTTTTTTAAATAGTTCTTATTTTGTTTTTTGTCCATCTTGGTCCGCCATATAATTTTCAAAGCTCTATTTGAAATAAGTGCTTTTTTCACCAAACACTCATGAACACTTATTTATTCAATTAACACTCCTAAATGGGGGCTAAGCTAATTTATAGATTGATTTAGTTTAGATTGGTAGTAATGGGAGATTGAAAAACACTTTGATATTTGATGTAGGGTGATTTGGCTCGACCTCATAGCACGGGGACACGTGGACATGACCTGGCATAAGTGACAATTTAGCATGATAGTCTGGCCACCACTCGGCGCAGTGAGCTCGCCGAGGCCCGGCCAAACGACTTGGCGGGTGTGACAACTCATCGAGAAGCAAGGCCCAGCTCGCCCCGAACCCGAGGGAGGAGCACCCCGAGCTCCCCCATGCAAAGGGACCCGAGCTCCTCCTAAGGGACTCAGAGCTCTCCCTTCCTAAGAAGGGAGCACCCCAACTTTTAGCTGTCCTGAGGGAGAAACACCTCGGGACAGCACCATCAAGACTCCTGCTCGTACTTGCTTAAGGCTCGCCTCTAGTGCGGGCACCTCGGTGCAAGGCAAACCTGCCCCCGGTGGCTCAGTGCACAGTAGCTCGGTAGACTGCAGGGAGATCTGCCTGACATCTGTGCCTGCCTGACATCCGTACCTGCCAGATCCAGTGGCAGTGCTCGGATCCCTTGCCAGGCGGCGCTCTGCTTGCCGTCTCTGAAAGGCATGGCACACCTGACGAGTCCGTGCCCTACAGCAGCCGCCTGCGCCTTCCACCCCTGCCTTGTCAGTAACGGCTAGGGAAGTGGCGGTTACGCCTGATGTGACCGAGCTCCGGTATAAAAGGACACCGATCCTCACAAAGCAAAGGTATTAAAGCTCAAGCACTTTTAGCACTCTTACTCTCCGTTCTTCCTTTGAGATTTATCCAGCTCTAACTTAGCCATTGGAGTGTTCCCACTGGGAGAGCTCCCCTGGGAATCCTTCACCTTCTTCTTCCTCTCAGGTGCCGCCCGTCTCAGCTAGAAGCCAAGTCATAGCCAGCTAGGAGTGCCCAGATTGTGCAACATCATTTGGTGCCATCTATGGGAAAATGCTTCAAAAAGCCTCCCTCTAACTTCTGTGAAACTTCCCTCTCTTTAACTCATCGGCACCACCGACACCCATGGCTTCTTCCAACAACTCTGGACACCGAAACACCCAAGAGGAGCAACTCCCACTGCCCACCGTCTGCATCGGGCAGTTCACCGTTCCCTTCTTTGTGGACGGGGTTCCTAGCCTGAACGTGCCAACGACGGTGGCACCTGTGTCTGTTTTGCTGCCCCCTGCAGTCTGGACGACCTTTGATGGCCGGCCAATGTCAACTTAAAGACCTAACGCAGTGCATGCGGGCCATGCAGGCCCAGATGCAACAGTTTCAACAACTTCAGTTCCACCAGCAGCAAGTGCTGCACCAAGTGTCCCAGTATCAGTACTAGCAACAATTCCCATCACTCCTTCCCCGGCATCCGGCTACATAGCCAACTAAGCCTCATTGCCACAGTGAACTCCCTTCCCGCCGGGGAGAGACTTCGGCATCATCTCATGGAAGGAAGGAAGACTCCCTACCCCCGCCTCGCAGCCCGTAGTCAGGTCGGGGGCTTCCCAGCCGGTTAGGCCGGCGTCACCTCAGCATTCGCAGTTCGAGCCTCTGCTTGCGGAGAACAGGTTCGAAGTGCTAGCCGATGACCTGGAACAAGGTCCTTTTGTCCACGGCTACCAACAGTCATCCCTGCCTCCCCCTAGGCCCATTGAGCTCAGCAATACTGAGGCCAGCAGCACCAACGCCGAGCCGGCCAAGAAGCAACGGAGACGCCGCCGGGCTCGCCGAACTGCCACCACCCACAATCTGCCCGAGCTCAAGGGCAAAATAGAAATAAGTTTGGGAGAGGTAAGAATTGCACCACTTCTCTCAGCCCCCTCTCCTCTATCTCTGGAGCTCCTAGCTGTCC